AAATAAAATTTTTTGAAAAAATTAGTTTCACAGAATTTTTAATTTAAAAGTATGAACAATTCAGATTATCCAAGATTTTAATTTGAAACCATTTCAAAATTTAATTATTTCTAAAAATTCTCGCTATAATGCTTTTAATATTCAATTATTATCTAAAATTTTAATCAAAATTCAATTTGAAATAAATTTTTATTAGAAGGTTTTAAAAGAATTCAATTTTTTAAATACAAAAATAAATAATTTATGGAATAATTAAATGTTTCTTGAAATTTAATTTTTGTGCAGAATTTGAATAACAACATTTGAAAATAATTATTTTCTTTTAAGGAATTTAGTTAAAATTTTAGAAAAATTTATTAAATTAAATAATTTAATGAGAATTTTTAAAAATAATTGAAAAATGTTGAAGAATTTTATTAAAATTTTTAAAAATAATTGAATTCATGAGAAGAATAAAAATAATTAATTTATAAAAATAATTGCATTCATGCAAAGAATTTTTATAAAATTTTGTTTAAGTAATTGAAATTTTGCCAAGAATTTTATTATTTAAATTTTTGAAAATAATTAAATTTTTTGAGAAAAATTTTGCTGTTTATAAAGATAATTGAATTCTTGACGAGATATTCGTTAAATTTTTTGAAAATAATTGAATTTTTGTGATGAATATTGTTATTGAAAATTGTTTTGAAAATAATTTAATTTTGCAAAGAATTTTATCAAAACTCCTAAAAATAATTGGATTTCAGTGAAGAATATTGTTATTTAAGAAGATAATTTTGTGTTAAAACTTTTAAAATAATTAAATGATTTTAAAAAATCCATTCTTGTCAAAAATAGAAAAAATTTGAAGGTTTTCTATTAGAATTTGCGGTGATTCGTGGTAACTTCGTAGTTTATAAGGCAGTCAAAAAAGACACCAAAATTCATAATTTTCTTATGGATTCTAAAAATTTAATTTTTCCCAGTATTTTTCATAAAAATCCCTAACTTTTCCCTGATTTCTCTGACCTGTGGCAACGCTGTAATTGTCTTTAGTTTGGGGGTTGTTGTTGTTTTGATTTTATAGTTCACTTCCCAACTATTCTTAATTTTTTCGCTTCATCCTTTTCGTTGAATTTGGCGTTTTCTTGGCCTTTCTTGATTATTAGTTGAAGGTTGAGGTTCGCCGAAAATAAATTGCCTTCGTTTTTCTTGTGTCGATATTAGAGGTAATTTAAAATATTTTTAGGTATTGGACATTGATTTAATTTCTCTTGCTGTTCATGATCAACATCCATTGATTATTTTTAATGAATTAAAAATGTTAAAGGTCCATTAGGACGAAATCATTAAATTAAAAATCTCGAAAAAAATATGAGACTTTAAAATAGTGATTTTGACTTTTACTTTTGTATTTGATTTGAGGAAAAAGGAATGAAGAGAAAATGTATGCATATTTAAAGTAAAAGTAAGTACATTTTCGCTTTCTCGATTTAATTGGTATAAGTATGAACGTTCTGTGTAATGGGAAAAAATGTAATATGAGAGACGGTAGAAAGGTTCAGTGTAAGCTTTTGTGACAAAGGTTAATTGCAAAACGCACCAGTTCGTTTAGGTTAAGGCGCCAAGGTACAATACGTAATAAACCTTGGAACCACATCACAGGCAGCCTATTTTGTCTTGTTAAACACCATCACAAAGGATTTTACAATATTTGCTTTATTTTCAACAATTTCTGAATTACAAAGGGAAAGACATAATTTTACAGTTGAAAACAAAAGTATAGCTACTAGAGGCAATAACATTTTTAAAATATTGCACATTTCCTGTTTAACTGGAGAGTGAAGATAATATTAGAATATTAGATTATCTCTAATAATTTCAAGTTTTTTTATTTAGACTTTCGAGTAGGTATATGGGTCATGGAGGGTTCACTTGAACAAACTCAGTACATAGCAAATGGTTGAGCAGGGATGCGCCTTAACGAGCTCCGTTGCCGTGACCATATCCCATAAGGATCCGCGGTCCTGATAAGGATCGATTCAATTATCTATTCAATTACTGCGCGATTCGTGATAACCTCGGGTGTCTTTAAAATTCAATAGGAGTTTGAGAGTTATTTTTTATTCAATGAAATTAAAATTACGCGACAATTTCCCATTTTTATTCCTTATTATTCTAAATTAATCCACTTGATCGAGGAGAAGTAATTATACAATAACATGTTTTCAAGAATCTATTACTGTACAATGTCCAATATCAGTTGAACATAAAACACTTGCTATTAATATACACACAGAGATTTGAATTTTTTTAAGTTTAGTAGGTCATAAAGTTGACGTAGAGGAATGGTGAGACTGGAGTTCCGATCGAAGATGGCAAGGTATGAAATCGAATTCCTTTTGACCGACCCTATGTCGACCCAGACTCAGCCATCTTGAAATTCCATGGAATCGCAATATCAAACTGTTTAAAATAAGACATAAAAAAATCGAAATTTTTTTAAAACATGTTTTAGTTGATTGAAATTATGAGACTGCTTTCAGAAACTGCATATGGTGCTGTAAAAGGATCCATTTCGAAAACCATGTTTAAATAAGAGATGAGACATTTTACATAATAACTTTATGTACAGATTTCATGCAAAATTCACTCAATGTTCTTCTTTAGTGACTTCACCTTTGTCCCTTTTGCATCGCGGCAACTATAAGAATCACGAGATTCTCTTCCACATGAAAGTGCAAATTTTTTAAATTCTATATACTGTTGATGAAATTGCAGTGTTCCACATACCCAAGCCACGTTCTAAAAATGCTAACAAAGAATTGAAATAAATTCAAGGAGCCAGTGGTTTTAGTTTTACAAAAAAAAATATATTTCAGTCATTTTTCATACATTGCGAACTCAATGAAGCAGATGGAAAATTGAATGTATTTCCAAATTTATAAAAAACCAGTGGCAGGGTTGCCACGCAACATAAAAACCTGGAAATGTTAGGAAATTTTATAAACCTTGAAAAAACCTGGAAAAGACAGGGAATTTTCAATGAACTTAATTAGAAATTATAGAGAAATTAGATTTTTGAATCTATCTTCAATTATGTTCAAAAATTGAAAAAAAATCCTGATCAAAATTACAATTATTTTTATAAAAAATAAAATTCTTCTCCAAAAATTCAAATATTTTGAAAAATTTTAATAAAATTCTTGACAAAATTTCAATTATTTTTAACGATTTTCCTCAATTCAATAATTTTTAATATCTACTGTATCTTAATAAAATTTGCAATAAAATTTAAATTATTTAAAAAAATTTCGATAAAATTCTAAGCAAATATTTAATTATTTTTTAAAATAATAAAAGTTTCACAGGAATTCAATTTTTTACAACTTTAAAAAAAAAAATGTCTTCCCAATAATTCCATTATTTTTATAAATATAATAAACTTTTTTTTAGGAATTTCAAAACTTTAATGGCTTATCTTCCAAAGAATTAAATTATTTTGATAAATATCAAAATTCTTGCTAAAAATGCAATTATTTTCAAGAATTTTAATAAATTTCTTTGTAAAATTAAATTATTTTCAGGAATTTGAATAACATTTTTTGCAAAATTCCGATATTTTCAGAAATTTTTATAAAATTCTATACAAAATTTAATTATTCTGAGGGATTTTAATAAAATTCTTTGCTAAATTCAATTATTTTCATAAATAGCAATATTTATCACAAGAATAATAATTAAATATTTAAGAAGTTATCGATGGTTTCGAAAAATTTTATACTTTTGAAGAAATTTGTAAATAAATGTAATAGAAATTTTTTTTTAGTATATATATCTAATCATTTTGCGGGTGAAGTACACGCAGAAAACGTTGTACTTTTGTACACGTTGACAAAAAGATTGTTTATGTAGAACTATCAAATTTATTTTGTTGTCCTAACATTTAAAATTTTTTCTAATAACAATAAATATGTTGAGGTAAGAAAAAATTTTGTTACAACAACAACAAAAATTTGTTAGTTCTATATTAAAAATTCTTTTTTTTCTGTGTAGAATATTCTTTAGAGTCAGGGAAAAAGACAAAGTTTTGTCTAGAAATCAGGGAGTTATTTAATTTTTGGTAAAATATAAATGTTGTTTTTTTCGATTTTTAACCTGCGGAAAAGTCAGGGAATTTGAAATGAGCAAAAGCGTGGCAACCCTGAGTGGAAATGTTTTGATTAGCGGTATAAAAAAATAAGAAGTAAAGCGCCTTACAATTAGTAAGATGGTTAACTTATTAATTAACATTTGATTAACGCGATAGACAAAGGTGGAACTTTAGGGAACATGATAGGGTGAGGGCTGGGAGATAACAATATTCTCAGGTGCGCTAGGTACACGATAAGAATTTCGGGAAAAGAGGATGGAGGAAGGAATCTATAAAAGCGATATGGTTAGTCTCCAGTCACGTTCAACTATTAACCCTAAGAGAATCGGAAACGTTCAACGACCAAAACCACCATCAGCTCTATTTCCTTCCCTTTAGAGTCAGTGAGGACGATTTCTCTTTAGTCCTGCGTTCACTCTATACATGTATATGTATATCTAAGCCAACAGCTTTCAACGCTCTTATCGCTCCACACTTAGACCTCTTAATATCAGACGAGCATCTGAAATATTCATGAAATTAATAACTTGGAAAGTGGAACACGCCAAATGAACAAAATAGTTTTTACTAGATTAGACTTGTTTTTAAATATATAACTTCTTCAAAATCTATTAATAACCACTTTGCTTTAATTTCGAATGGAAGAAATTCCCTAACAGACAGAGAAGTAATTGTTTTCTGCTACAAAAGAGTGCTTTTATTTTTTAATGTAAATTGTAACTGAAAATTATAGTTGAAATGAAATCGGCGCCTAGAGAAAATATTTACATATGCCCTTAAGCGCTGCGTTTGTAAATTGCGAATAGAACACAAGTACATTTTTCAGGCTTATTTTTTGAAATTTTTTCTTCTCCCCGAGTCGTGAATACTTGACGTTTAAAAACCTATAGGCATATGTGTATACATAGCAAGTACATTACCACATGCGCAAAGTATTTCGCGCAGAACACAGGGTGGGTTATCAGCTTGAGTGGGACATTGGTGGGGAAGGGGTCGGCAGACGGAACGGCTGATTCGCCAACTGAAGATGAGATTCAGTCGGCCGGCGAATTCGCGTGCCGAGTGCTCGCGTTTGGGAGGATAATTTTGCGAAACCAAAACTCACCCCCTCTCACCCTCCCTCTTCTTAGAAATTTACAATCGTGAGTGTTGATTCTTTTTTTCGGCTATGAGCTGGCCTAGTGATTTTTACTTTCGGATTCGAGAAACTAGACTAACCGTGTTAAAAAGTTTTTATTGAAAAGTTTATTAGTGAATTCACCAGCTCAAAAGTAATTTTCAAACTTCTTGGATAATGGAATATTTTTAAATCTGAAGAAAGAAATAGTGAAACAGTGAAATTCAAGACTTACAACGAAACTTGACATGTTTTTTATCAAACACTTCTTGAGCTGAAGAAATTCCAGTAAAATGATTTTAATTTCTCCATGTTCTCCATTGGGAATTTAATATATTTGCAGTAGCTGGAGAATCCAGAGGATTGACGACGATTTTCAATTCATACATATCGCCGAACGCAATACTTGTACGTGACTTTAATATTCTTTTAAAACGTGAATGAGATGATAAAAATTGTTCTTCATGTGTAGAAAGTCGGAATATCTTTATGGCATATCTTTGCATCACGTGATCGGTATTTTGAAAGTAAAGTATGTTTTAAACAGTGAAACAGTTGTACCGAAAGGAAATGAAAATAGGTGAGTTAATTTAAAGGAAATTTGTCAATAATTTTTGTGAATGGATAAAAAAAAGTTTTAATCAGGAATATTTTTTAAAAAATTTTATTCAGTTTTCCAATATCAGTAATAGAGATGAGAAATTATGAATTTAATAAAATTTTCTGCTATCGTATGTATGTGGATAGAAAAATGAAGAATCTATATAAATACCAATAAAAATAGATTACATTTTTCTATGTAGCAATTTTATATGATATTAAAAATTTGATGAATTTTAGATGGCGAGAAATTATGTGCAACATACTAATAAGTACCAATTTTAGAGGCAAGTCATGGAAAGTCGTGTTGGATAATTGAAACCAAATTCTTATTTATAAAGGTGTCTAACTGTCCATTTAACGAGAGAGTTATAAAATTGATACCTAAAATACACATCTTGAGGCGTTTTTCCACATATTTAGAACTTGAAGTAGAGGCAAAAAGGTTAAATAGCAGCAGTGATTCCATTCGTTGAACTTAATCACAACAGTTTGCCGGAAGCTTATTTGGCCATTATCGTCCAAGTTTTGCTCGATATCGGGAAAGAGAGAATCCATTGGCATGCCACGCTGTTGTAACGATGACGCGGAAGATAAAGCCAGATTAGACGAGTAACTTTAAAGTGAAGTCTAATGAAGCTTCTCGCCAACTATTTTCAACGGATCACACGTAAAACTTAATCATTCTACTTTCAATTCACATTAAAGTAGTCAAGAAAAAGTACTTTTCGTTTTTATGTGTCAAATAAAAACTTGAAAGTTTATTTCAAAGATTAAGCCATTGATATATCTTATTAGGGATGCCTTTAATTTTTACTCTTCATTCCATTTTCCAAACTAATGAATAAATAATAGTTTAAAAGGATTTTTTAAAAAGATTTTTATTTCACATTTCTTTAATTTTGTAAAGTGAGATTTAAAATTGAATGATGCATTGGGCAAGTAGAGTAGTAATATCAACGTTTCGTCAGACCGCAGCTTCGTTGCTCGATGGATAATTAATTGCGTCGCCGGAGACCAGCATAACGCCCGCTGAATAGTCGAGAAAGTTTAGTCCCGCGTCCTGTGTCTCTTTGTCTAGTATAGAAATTCGCTCGTAGATGACATTTCACAGGAAATTGATAATTACCTAATTATCTTCATTTACAATTAATTTATTTCTTTCCTTCTCATGAAAACATGGCTAACCAGTATTAAAAATATTTCATCTCAATTTCTTCCCTTTACTAAAAAGTAAAAAGTGGCGAATAATAATAATAACTGAAAACAATTCTTTTTTAAAAATAAAACATATCTTCTGTATGGAAAATGTTGACACGAAATTCTTAGAGTGTGAGCAAAAGAAAATTTCAATTCAAGTAAACTAAACTAGTTTTACTTTTGTGTATATGTTATCAGTTTTTTATGTTCTCAAGTACTCGTGTACATATAATACACTGAATTTAGGATAAATCAATGGAATATCCATTTCGTTTCCAATTTTCCCTATTTCCCCCTATCAATTTTTCCCATCTCTCTCTCTCGCCCTCCCCCTTCGGCAATGAGATATATCTTTGACGTTTTAGAAAATAGGGGAAAAACATGCAAAAAAAAGTCAGTTCCCCACATGTGTCGCATTACATCTCCTGGTCAGCGAGTTTTCGAGCTCACTTCATTTCCTTTTTATTTCTTCATTTCTCGACTTCTCTTTATTACTTTATTTTTCCTTTTTTTTACTGGAAAATTCGTACGTTTTGCAGTCTCTGGACTCCATTTGGTCTAGACACGCGTTTAGTAACGAGCACTGAATTTCCCGGCGTTATCGAAAACTGATAACGTTAGAAGGATAATTTGCAGGATTATGCGCATTTCGTGAAAATTAAATTTTCCATTTTTCGTCGAGATCGTTATTTACGGAGATCGTTTCTTTCGTATTTAGATGGCTTTATTTTAGAATCTTGATAAAGCATTTGGAACTTTGTCTCTGAAAATAATTTTTGGGGGAATGAATATTAATCTTTAGATAACTCAACTAATATTATTTAAAGTAGTCTTTTAAGTAATAAGGAGGTAATTTCAAGTTAACGAAATTTTCATCTGTAGATGATATATCAAATTTTTTTTACTATTTTACCCAAATTTTTTATCACATTGTTATGGAAAGGAATTCATTCATAGTCTCTTCAAGTCTAAATAAATAAAATTTCGTTTAAAAATGTACAGATAAGAGATATAAAGAAGTGTGGTTCAAATTTTTATTTTATTCAATTTATAATGTACCTAAAGAAAAAACTTTTCCTGAATAATGAACTTGATAAGCAGATTATATTTACAACATGGAAATTAAAAAATAAATCATTATTACTGGGTATGTATTTTAAAGTTGGGTATAATGTTAAAATAGGATGAAGTAAGTTTTTATTTAATTTCTCTACTCAAATAAAAAACTCCAACGAGATGTTACGTATCATAAAGTTTTGGACCACAGTTTCAAAAAGTTTTTATTGCGGTGTAACATTCACGAATAGTTTGGCGTATAAACCTTTTATCTTTGGTTTGTTTTTCTTTTTAATTCTAACTCTCTATGGTATTACAGTTATATAACGAGAATAAAAGTAAAATTATCTTTTTATTAATATAATGTACATTCACGTGTGAATAATTTTATATTTCTCTTATTTTGACGAGCGCATTGATGATGCAGTGATGAAAAATTTCATAGAGGATTTTTATCACAAAAGTTATGAAAATTGTTTTAAACTTTTTAAATGATAGAATTTTTAATTTAGATTTGATTTGATTCTATATTATTTATGTGTATTCAAGTGGACAAACATATAATATGTCAATTCATTTGTAATCAATAATTGCATTTCAATGCAACACTTAACAAATGCATACAGCAATTTGAAATTAATTTGCTACAGGCGATATTTATATATACAATAATTTATATAGCTACATGGCAATTGCTTGATGCTTTATACTTGATAATATAGTTTATAACTATCTACTATTGAAATCGATGAAATTATATTAAGTTTATTTTTTCTTCATCAATTTTTCTTTGTATTACAATTAATAAGTTCTCTCAGCAATTGTATCGATCGAAAAAGATTAGAAATTAAATTACTTTTTTTATTTCAACTATTTGCTTAATGAAATAAACAAGTAATTGAGATATAAATTTGTTAAGGATATCAATTTGAGACAAAAAAAACTGTGAAGTTTATCAATCTGCATTTTTCTATTAGACAATATTTCGTGACTACTCCGTATATTTCCTCCCGTACACTTTTTCGTTTCTTTTATAGCTTTTTTATTGATGTATCTCTTCCATCTGAAATAGAATATAATGATAGTCGTTTTGAAAATTATTAGACCCCGCCCAAAGAGCATTTAAATGCAAGTCGTTCATTATTGGCTGCAAGTTTGTGAAAGAGAATGTCTAACTACATCACATCTTTTCGTAATTTATAAGGATTTTGAAGGGTTTAAAACTGTAGGTAATAATGTAACGTGCAAGAGACAGATTACTGAGTTATTGTAGCAATTATATTATATATATAATTTTTGACTATTTATTTGATGAAAGAAAATGCTCGAGAGAGAAGTGAAGTGAAGTGACAGTGAGAGAGTGAGAGAGTAAGAGACGAGTGTAATTGTTGAGAACGAGCTGATAAACGTTCATTTCGCGTATATATATATGCATTGTAATATTGTTACATGTGTTCGTTTAACGTCAACGCCGCTGAGTTCGCCGATCTCAAATTGTAGTCGCGATGAGATTTAACGTTCTACACGAGTCAGGAATTTCTTATCCGACCTGAATTCCATCTCTGTCGTAAAATAGTCAAGCACTACAAGACCAAAGACGTTGCTCGTCATCTTGCCAAAGGGAATGTAAAATTACAACCACGATGAGAGATTCTAAGATTATATATACTCGTTATTTTCCCCAACTACTGCCTTTATTCATTCAATTGAAAAAGTTTAAATCAGGTTTGAATCGTGACAAATGAACTTGTTACACTATACGCAGATCTAAACTCTGAAAAATGGTGTATACAAACAGAATTTTGTCATTATAATTAATTTGTTGAAACAAGAAAGAGAAAAAAGCAATTTTTTCAACATGAAACACGACCGCAACTCGACCAATTGTTTTTCATGCACACTTTGCCCTCTTCCGTTAATTTCATTGCGTTTTTCATGCATTAAAAAACGCAAACCAAGCTTCATGTAAAAGCTCGTCAAAGCGTAGAGAGATTTAAAGATTTCCATGTGATACCTAAAACAATGGTTTTGGATGCATGTAAAAATCCCAGTACCATCCATTTTTAGCCCTTGAATGTGTACCGCAGTCACCAACGAGTTCGCTCTAGAAATTGACGCTTTTCACTCGTCTATTAGTGCTGCTCTTGCAACATCATTGGTTTCGTCGAAAAAACGCTGTGAAAACAAACAAAAATAGGAAAAAAAACTACGCTCAGAGACGAAATGAATTGTTTACCCCAATATACGAACCTTCATTTGACAAAGTGCACATGAATCAGTAGTAACGTTCTTTTGGTCAGATAGACAGACAGACAGACAGACAGACCGACCGACCGACAGACAGACAACGAGTAAATGTAACAAAGAAAATGAAATTAAATTTTCAATTCTGCTTCAATGGGACAAAGGAGAAAATTTAATTTTAAATTGACTGACGCGCGTAATTAACTTATATTTGGATTTTCAAACCAATACAATTTTTTCCTTTGAGAATACTCTATCTACTTGAGTGGCACTATTCTCAGCTTGAAAATAAGACTTTAAGTTCCCTCACACTGACAAGCGAATGTTATTCTTATTCCAAACAAAATGGTGTTTTTCTTCCTTTTGGAGTGTCGCTCGAGAATAAAATGCCTTTCAAACTGCAAGATCCGTCGACTCGCGGCACGTGTTATACTCGCGGAGAAATTGCGACTGGGATACAATTTCGCAGCTGAGAGGAAC